TCACCGTCTGGTTCAGGTCGGGGATTCCGATCCGAAAGACCATCATACTGAAGCGGGCGGCGTCGGGCACCGACATCGGGGGCCCCTGGGTCCTGCGGTCCAGGGGGCCGGGGCTAGCGCCGGGGGGGCCGTCGCGGGAGCTTTCGGAGTCCGACTCCCCCTCGGGATACTCCGAGACCCTCTCCTCCTCGCTGGACCCGGGGCTCCGGGGCATCGTCCCGCATCACAGGCCAGCTGGTGGGGGGCAGGAAGGGGCAGAGAGAGAGATGGGGGGATCAGCAGGGGGGCAGAGAGCGGCAGGCTGCCCTCCCCCACGCGGACCCATGCACTGAGCCATAAACCCGGCCCCCTCTGCTCTCCCCTGCCCCCCTCCACCTCTCCCTGACCCCCCCACAGCCCCGCCAGTCCTGGCGGGTGACTTTGTGGGTCCTTGTCCCAGTTCCGCTCAGCGCCTGGGACCCAGCAATCTGGAGCAGCCCCTCCCAGAGTCCCGCCCCCCCCCACGCCGTGGGACATCTGCCCCACTTTCCTCGCTCCCGCCACTGGCTAAAATTAGCCCGGGAAGGACGGAGGAATCGGAGCGGTCAGAGCCCTGGCCCGAACTCCGCTACCCCCCTCCGAAAGACAGCTGCCTCTGGGTGGGGGCTGGGTACACGGGGACCCCTCGTCCTGTGCTGGGACGCAGCCCCTCTGGGGTGAGGGCTGGGTATACGGGGACCCCTCACCCGGTGCTGAGACATGGCCCCTCTGGGGTGGGGGCTGGGTATATGGGGACCCCTCACCCGGTGCTGAGACATTGCCCCTCTGGGGTGGGGGCTGGGTATACGGGGACCCCTCACCCGGTGCTGAGACATGGCCCCTCTGGGGTGGGGGCTGGGTATATGGGGGCCCCTCCCCCGGTGCTGAGACACGGCCCCTCTGGGCTGGGATGCAGGGGGCTAGGTAAATGGAGACCCCTCACCCGGCACTGGGACGCAGCCCCTCTGGGGTGGAGGCTGGGATACGGGGACCCCTCGCCCGGCGCTGAGATAACATTCTGGGGGATCTCAGACTCGTATCTCCCAGCCAGGCACAGCCCCTAACGGTGTCAGCAGCTCCACCCCATGGGAACTTCCCTGGGAAGAATCCTGGGGACGGATGTCAGGCTGTGTAAACGGGAGGGAAGATGAGATACATGCACAGACAGACAGACACAGACAGACATGTGTAGAGAGATGGGTGCGGGGAGGGAGGGAGGATGGATGTTGGGAGGATGGATGAAGGAGGGAGGGAGGGACGGAGGGATGGATGGACAATGGATGGAGGGATGATGGAGAGAGGGGTGCACGCAGGGGCAGAGGAACAGACACAGAGCACAGGGACGGAGGGAGGGATGGATGGACAATGGATGGAGGGATGATGGAGAGAGGGGTGCACGCAGGGGCAGA